GCCCATGCATCGATCCAATCGGCGCCGGCGAGTCGCTGTCAAAACTGACTATGTCACTGACTCAAACTGACTTCGATTCAACTATCGCCCAGTGACAATTCATAAACACTTTGATCCGAATATGAGCAATTTCCATGCAGTCGGCTTAAAAATAAGCTAATAGTTAAAGCAACATTTGTCCTTTACTTGAAAAAAATCAATAAAGGAAGTCTTCATTTTTGGTTTTATGCGTATGGGCTCTGGTTTCTGGTCAGGTAGAGAAAGACGTAGAATCTGTGATTACTTGCCGAGCTTTCGGCCTTTATAAGACCATCATCAGTACCTGTATAAATATTATAATTATAACATTACATTGTTTCACTAATTACAAGTTTTTTGGTTTGTTTTAACTTACAGCATCTTACTTCTTATATTAACTTTCAGCTTAGGAGAAATTCCAGGTACAAACCTCAACCTCGTCAAACCTCGTCGACATTTCTAAAATACTATAATTCATATCTAAACTATGACAAGTGGTATCACATTTATTTATTATTTTGTTGACTAGGTTTAATGGGTAGTTGTTCCTTTTTAAATTTCTTTAAGTTTATATTTATTTTATGTGGTGATTAGTGACCGTTAATCGATAATTATTCCGAAATCGTGAGAAGCGGTCTGGTGTGATGTAGGTTTCAGAAAAACATTGTCTTTATCGTGCCAACGTTTCGATCCTTATTGAGATCATCTATCTGAAGATGATTTCAATAAAGATCGAAACGTTGGCACGATAAAGAAAATGGTTTTCTGAAACGTACATCACACCAGACCGCATGTCACGATTTCTGAATAATTTATATTTATTATATACATGAAATACAGGGTCACTTAAGATGAGTACTCGTTTTATTAAACTTTTGGCAACATTGACTTTACGATTAAAAGAGTGAATTGACAACATTTTAAAATATCTGCCTTGGTAATCCTTTTAAAAAACGACCTAATTTACTTTTGAAATTGTTGGTTTAATGTAGTTTATTACATCCATTACAGAAAAAACTGAAAAAACTTGTCTTAATTTCAACTTACACATGTACTTCGAGACCGGTTTTTTACGTGATTCTGTAATGTTAATCTAAGAAATAGAATGCTTTAAGTTAAAACAAATTAAAAAACTGGTTATTAATGAAATAATGTAATGTTGTAATATTTATTCAGGCCCTGATGATGGACTTATAAAGGCCGAAAGCTTGTCAAGTGATCACAGAGTCTACTTCTTTCTCTACCTGTCCAGAAACAAGATCCATACACATTAATCGTCGTGGTCGATTTCTTCTTCATCAACCTTATAGTTTTATTACTTATTGATTTTTTGGAGGTGGTGACGTAGGTTTTAGAAAAACATTTTCTTTATCATGCCAACGATTCGATTTTTATTGAGATCATTTTCAGGGCGCAAAGTGTTTGTTTTCCGTGTAGATGTGCCATTCTTGTCTGTCATGTTGAGAGTGCCTCCAAATAATCATTAGGTAACGGTCACTAAACACCACACATTTATGGTTTTAGTTTTGATATTAGAATTTTTACTTCATGGCTAGTTTACTTTAATCTTTCTACAATAAATTTATTTATTATTTTTGAAATATATCAGGGCAGAAAGCCAGAGTCAAAAGCCTCTCGTATCATCCTCAAAATTTACCAGTTATTAGTTTTTGTACATCAATTATTTTACAAAATTTGGGTTGACCGACTTGCTTTCTGTTCCACTGTCTTCTACAATTGTCTGTGTTTTTTTCTTTGAGATCCAGTTTGTTTCTCTTTTCAGATCATCTCATCGCCAATTTCTATTTCATCAATTTTAATTTTTTCTCATCTTCTTCCTGCCTTTCTTTCGTATTTTAAAGTCCGGTGGCTAATGCGGAAACGTAAAGCCAGAAAAAAAAAATTTCTCATCTTCTTCCTGCCTTTCTTTCGTATTATCAACATACCCCACTCCAATGGATATAACTCAGGTTTGCAAACCTTTTATTTTTTGCATGAATATTCCCCATTTGTAATTACACCCTTTAACCTCTTGCAAATTTTCCTAGATAGGGAAACCATTTTTGAATGTATTTTCTCATTTTGTCTGTAAAGATGATCAATTGTCACATATATATCGTTTCTTTTACCTACAGAAGCTTTTTTTTAATCCTGACAGCTTTTTCTGTTTTCTTTTGTCACGAGAACACTATTCTCATTATTTATCCTGTGGCCTGCTTTTCCGTATTGTTTTTCGAAATTGGGCTATCACTCTCGACGTTTCTCGTGGGATTCTACGAATAGGGCAGCGTCTCAGCGAATTTTAGCCCAGGTGTTTCCTGTGTTTATTATATAATTAGAATCTTGGCTACTTCTGTTCTAGCAATATACATATATGAACCTAGCTTATTTATCTGAACTATCTCCCTACTCCAAGAAAAAATATTTAGGCACAGAAAGATTTATTATTAATTAAACTGAAATTAATGTTTGAACTGCAGGTGTTTACATTAAAAAAGTGATTTAGTCTTACAAATTAAAAAAGTAGATTATTTCCTTCGTCTACGAATAAAAATAGCATATGTTTATTATTATTATGTATGAAAATGTGACATGCTTTTAAAATAAACAGAGATCGAAAGGCTAAGTGGGATTTAATATAAGGGAGAAAAGGTTTTGATAGTTTGTCAAAAACATTCCCCTTATTTGTTCAAGTTTAAACAGGGCAAATTTTCAATAAGTAAACTATGTTTAAGCGTGTTTTTTATTTTACCAATTAGTATCTTCTTTTTTTCTTGAGAGTAAAATAGAACAAAATTATATTTAGTATATTTAACAGAAACAATCTGTAAGATCATTTTTTTAAATTATGAAATATTTGTTATTTTAACGAAGAAGAACTGATGTTTAATAGTAAAACTCACTGTTTCCGACAGGCGTTAAATAAAGACTCGTTATATACGTATTTAAGATATTCTATTATATTGTTATTGAGAACAAGACTAGAATGGGTGTCAGGAGAACAAAAGCTCGTTCATCCTACTTCATTTTGATCCCTTACAGGATTAATTTTAGGTTATTGACGAATAGAAGGTTTAAAACTAGTCACTACATCATATTGTAGTTTAGAACAATGGTCATTTTGTGTTTTTTTTAATGCCCAAAAATGTAATAAAATGTAGTGAATGCAAAATATTAGAAACAGTTGCAATAAAGTTAGTGATATTTTGCTGTGCATAACTATTAAACACAAACTTGGTTTGAATTTTGTTATTACGTTTTATTAGGTAGTTGCTTATTTCATTTTAATACATCATGTTGAAAGTTATTGTATATTTTCTCTCTCACCCTCTCTTTCTCTCTCCCTCTCACTCTCTCTATCCCGTTCTTCTCTCGCTCTCTTTCTAGGGCTCTGTCTGTCTGTCTGTCTGTCTGTCTCTGCCTCTCACTCTCTCATTCTCTCTCTCTCTCTCTCTATCTATCAGTTTATCTATCTATCTATCTATCTACCACTCTCTGATTTTTATTTTATTTGATTTCTGATTTGTATTTGCCTGTCTATCTGAGAATGGTGGGCCCTCAGAATGGATCTTTCAACTTCATAATTTCTCCTTTCCCAATCGCTATTCTTCTTAAGACAATTTCTTTCTTTGATGTTTTCTAGTTCTATCTGCATAATTTTTCCTTTCTCTCTCTTCTCTTCCTCACTCAACCTTTCTTTCTCATTCCATCTCTCTCTCCTTCTTCTCTCTCTCTCTATCTATCTATCTGTTTATCTATCTATCTATCTATCTACCACTCTCTGATTTTTATTTTATTTGATTTCTGATTTGTATTTGTCTGTCTATCTGAGAATGGTGGGCCCTCAGAATGGATCTTTCAACTTCATAATTTCTCTTTTCCCAATCGCTATTCTTCTTAAGACAATTTCTTTCTTTGATATTTTCTAGTTTTCTGTACTAGTCTATCTGCATGTTTTTTCCTTTCTCTCTCTTCTCTTCCTCACTCAACCTTTCTTTCTCATTCTCTCTCTCTCTCTCTCTCTCTCTCTCTCTCTCTCTCTCTCTCTCTCTCTCTCTCTATCTCTATCTCTATCTATCTATATCTATCTATTTATATCTATCTATCTATCTCTATCTATTTCTATCTATCTACCTCTCTCTGAATTTTTGATTCCTAATTTTTCTTGTCTGCCTTTCTGAGAATGGTGGGTCCTCAGATTGGTTCGTACAGTTTCATAATTTCTATTTTCCCTATGGCTATTCTTCTTAAGACAATTTCTTTCATTGATGTTTTGTAGTTTTCTGTACTAGTCTATCTGTATGTTTTTTCCTTTCTCTCTCTTCTCTTCCTAACTCTACCTTTCTTTAACAAATAACGCACCCATTCTAGGAAATGAAGTATGATCAACCTTTAAAACTTTCTTTGCTTATTCAAAAATTTTCAATTTTCTATTACAGAGGTCGCTTCAAAACCAGGGTACCGGAGCAATCTCAGGTGGGAAGCACTCGGTTTTTCAAGCTGAAATGCTTTTGATGAATGCCATAGAAAATCTTAAGAGGTTACATTGACAAAAAATTCATATAAATTCAGATAGCCTATCTTATTTAAAAGCATTATCATATAAAAATATCTCATCATAACCAGACATTAAATATAATTGATTTTTTAGATTTTACTATTATCAGCAACTTTAATGTCTACTTATAACTATTTATTAAAAGCCTAAAGAACCAAAGGATTCTCCCTTTTTCGCAAGGCGTGGGTGGTGGCCTTTACGTTTTGACGTATTCACTTCTGGAAGGTGCTGTACATCAGCTTGTATTGATCATATGATATTCAATGTAAAATTAATTTCTGTTAGAAATAACATTTATAAATATTTAAGGTTTTGCGAATATTCTCTACTGATATAGTTCGTATTTAGCCTACGATATTATCATTTTGTAAAACCGTTCTGATTATTATTGAACCTGTTTCTATGTTTTGATAAAATTAAAATATTTTAGCTCAAAAAATATATTTTACAAAAACTTATTATCACATTTTGAATCGGGACGGATTAATAATACGTTCCCGCTTTAATTACAGGCAATGAGAATTCGTCAAGGTCCAACTTTGTAATGTCAGTAATGACTAAATCAGCGTGTTTTCTGAATTCTGCCGGTGCTTGGATGTCGGGGTACATAACAGTCTGGAGGCCGGCTGCTTTTGCGGACAGCACGCCGGCTTCACTGTCTTCGATCGCCAGGACGCTGATCGCCTTCTTGGGCTTCGGCTCGAACTTCCTCATGCTGCGCACGTAAGATTCCGGGTCTGGCTTACCGTTCTTAACCTCCGTGCCGTATGTGATGTGGCAGAACCTGTGCATTATGTCTTTCAAGTCCTTGTCTCTCGTCTTCCACGGAAAGGTGAATTCAGTGCTGCTCGTGTTCAGGGCGATCGGTATCTTGTTCAAAGACAAGTGACAGATGAGATCTCTGATTCCTTTGGTGATCTTTGCTTTAGGCATGAGGTCCCTGACGTGCTGGCGGACCCCGTGGGCGTAGACTTCGGGAGTCAATGGTAGATTGTGTTCCCTGACTATAAGTGCTGCAGCGTCTAGTTCTCTTCTTCCCTGTACCTTCATCCTCAGATCTAATGGGTAATGCTTCTTGAAGCGAGACAGGTACTTCATGTGCGCCTGCATGATAAGACGCTCCGAGTTTACCAAAACTCCGTCCAAGTTAAAAATGACGTGAGTGACCGGGGCGAATCTTTTATCTCCAAGCGGTTTGTGCATATCGGTGCATTTCTTTGGTGGTGGCGGCTGCTTTGCAAGTGTTGCTTTACATTCAAGACTAGCATAATTTCTTACCAATTCGGACTGATTTGTGATGATCGAATTTCCCAATATCCTTCGTGCAGTATTTGTAATAATAGAATGAGCCATTTTTTTTGTTTAATTGTGTGTGATCCAAACTTGAAATTTGACGCGTGTATGACTTGACTTTTTTTTTGTTATGACTGTTCCATTATCAGCTGGGTGTGTCATATTTTTATAATTTTAACACATATGTTACTCTTTTGCAGGGACCAAGTTATACTTTTTTTAAAAATTTTCAATAGAAATGGTCGAAAGTCAGCTAAACATTTTCCTAACATTATTCCTAAAATCGAATGGATGTCTACATATATATTCGTGTGTTTTTAACATTGGCTATCGTTTTTATTGTAATTTGTTCTTTACTACTCGAGTATTAAATACTACTCTAGTTATCTTTAGGGAAAATGGGCAGTTTAGGATAGCCAGGCAGAATTGGCGTATGCGTAGCTTAAAACAAAAAATGAAGATAACAATTAATTAAGGTTTTTAGTTGAGATGAAAAAAAGTTAATGGCACGGGAGGGATTCGAACCCACGACCTTCGGCTCGATACGCCGCTGCTCTACCACCTGAGCTATCGGGACCTCGATCCACTCGGACATCAACTCTCCATCTCAACCCCACCTTATGAGTTTTCCCTCCTTTTGCCATTTTTCAAATGTCGTGTAATCGGTTTGGATTCTCGACGACAATTGAAATGGCGACGGAGAGCTTTAGTGAAGTGTACTTCATTTTTAAATCATTGATTCACTATTTTCGTGGTCCGCTTGACCAATTAATACAAAACAATTAATTAAGGTTTTTAGTTGAGATGATGGATTGAGGTCACGATAGCTCAGGTGGTAGAGGAGCGGCGTATCTAGCCGAAGGTCGTGGGTTCGAATCCCTCTCGTGCCATTAACTTTTTTTTCATCTCAACTAAAAACTTTAATTAATTGTCTTGTATTAATTGGTCAAGCGGACCACGAAAATAGTGAATTAATGAAGATAACATTAAAATAAATTTATCGATACTTCAATCATTAACAGTATTGCTATATTCATACCTAAGTATATAATAGTTATATAATAAAAAATAAAACAAAGTATATATTAAGTATCAAATTAAAGGTGCCAATGACTAGAAATATCAAAGCATCAGGTTAAGTTACCACATTTGGTTTTTAATGGTTTATATTTCTCATGTAGCACTAAATCTGGTCTGTGAACGAATTTAACAAAAACTAATCCTCGATTTCCTTCGGAAAGAATTTCTGCAGCGAAAGCTAACAAAATGGTAAGCAATTTAAAAGAATGCGAAAGTTTGGACATGATCGGGAAAGTTGTTTTCCTATAAGATAAGATGAAATGCTTCAGTAGTGGGCATCTGGATGAATATGATTTATCGTTGAGAAAAGTTCACAGTGTCAAACTCTTTCTAATATATTTCCGACGACAAGATAACAGTACACAGCAAAAAATATTTTTCTCACATACATCACAGATAGTATGCAAGGCACAAACGAGTGATCGCTACGCGAAACGTTAATTTTAAGTGCCTCTCAGGTAATAAGATAGCCAAGATGTTCAAGTATCTTTGGTAGTCGATAAAAACTCCCAACGAAATGGCAAATCACAGTAGGAAATTGGAAAGAAGAGCTTGGAAAAAGCAATACCGAATCATCACTTAAACCAACGGTATCAATATTTATGAAAATATTAATGAATACTTTTCCACAGTTTTTAAGTGAAACCCGTGGCAATTGTGATTCGTTTTAAAGATATTAAAATCTGGGAATAGAATGCAATAAGATAGACCGGTATTCCAAGCACTGGCATCTGAGATAAGACCACGAATAACAAAGAACAAATTATATGTCATCTGGAACCGAGGGCATACAAAAGTATCCAGGCACGGGTTCTTATCTGATGGAACAATACTAACACCGAGGCAGGCAAAAACTAAAAAAAAGGCCAGCCTAAGTTCACAAAATGTTGCAGCTGCGAGGCCGGAATATACTTAGAATTGACAAAGGTTGCTTCTTATTTCTATTTGTTGTACACATTGCATAAGGAATTTTACTTGCTTCTAACTAATCTGAAACATCAATCTGAATGAGACTACTCGTCGATGACATGTTAATAATCGAATATAGAAGGTTTGCAAAATGAGCAGTACAAATAAGCTTATGCACATATGGCCTGGAGGAAGAAGAACCAGCGGAACATGTCTTCTGTTGATACAATCTGATGCAAGGTACGATTCTTCTGGGAGAGAAAAAATCTGGATGTAAAGGATACACAAGGTAGGTAACAAAGCTATGGGATCTGTTTAAAAGCTTTGAACTTAGCGAAGATAATAGATAATAAGAAGGTGGATGAATATTGGTCACAGTCGTAATGTCGTAAATAAGACGACAAGTCAAGCCTTACAAGTAGATCAGTTCAACACGAGTTCATCCTCCTTCTGAAACAATCCACAAGATTAGATAGTGAGGAATAACACGTCTGACAAAAAATACAATACTCAATGGCCGCCAAACAAAACACTCAAATTCAGAACAATGTGGTATAAGTAACATTCTAGCAATCTTCAGAACGACAGGAAGCTTGAAAGTATGTAATTCTGTGGATCTTTGTTCGCCTGATTTGCATATAATTGTCAAAATGATCTGATTCGATGCTATAGCAAAATAAATTATTGTACAATTGAACGAGCATTACTTCGCTTTCTTTTTCATGACCGAGGGCATTTTTGGAAGGAAAACGTAGGATCGCATTTCGAACTTGGCCAGTGTAAAGTGAAACATAAAAAGGGATATCCGCAGATGTTCTCATGCAATACTTGATTTAAAAAAGTATTTTTTAAATATCAATCAAATTGAACCGCTCATACCATTCATTTCATCAACTTAAAAATTGGTACTTGTAATGTATTTACTAAATTTAAAAATATGGAGCAAGTGAGACGAGGAGGAAACAACAATTTCCCTTTTTATGTGAACAGCGCAATATCATGGAAGTGTTTTTCTTTTTAGTTTATTTGTTTATTGTATAAAAAAGACTCGTTTTCCTGCTTTCGTATTTTTCCGTTTCAACGTTTATTACTTCAGATTCCATGTATCAATACAATTTTGTTTTTCGCCTTTATTTCTTATATTGTAAAACGGCGGTATACAAAGTTGACATTTTTTTATCACCATTCAGCAATGAATAACAGAATTTAACAAAGACAAAGCCGTACTCTTCTGATTTAAAGCTCTAATCCTTTAATATTTTTCCCATAAAATTTGAAGGATAAATTTTTTTGAAAAAAAAATCTCTTGAAGATTCCAACATACTAAATCAACTGACAATCGTCCTACATGTACAAAATCTTGTTTGTTTTTTTTAAGTAACTTGTAAGCAAAACTAAGTTGCTGCTTTTTTACATATACATTGTTTTAAACAAAATTTTTTTCTCTAAATACAAAGTTACAAACAATTTAATTATTTAATCGCTTGATGTCTCTAAGAAAGTCTGGTCTACACTTATAATAATTTGTATTATTTAGATAATAAAATGAAAAGGTCAGAGATAAAAAGGATTTGTCTGGAGAGAAGCTGTCTTTCGTTAAGGGCTCGCTTGGCCATTTGGGTGTTTTTGTAGTCTTGCTATGTTTTAGCGAAGTTGGCAATTTCAGCAGAAAATTAGGGATTTTTAAGTCTCGATGTAAGTCGCTATTGAGAACGTAGCGCTAACGTACAAATTTATCCCAAAAAATTGTAACTAAAATTCAAAAATCTTTGGAATTTTGCTATGTTATAGTTAGTGGAATGCGATATCATAAAATATTCGATACCAGTATTCGACACTGGTATTTAACGAAATATTCGATGATACAGAAGTATCGAGAGAAATTATGCGATACTAACGAGTACTTACTCGTATGAGCACTTTGTCATTTATTCATAAATGATCAACTTACTATCGACTTGTGAGTAAAATACGCTCATTCGTTAAAATAAACAAAAATTCGCAGTTTTTTTCATATTTTTAAGTATTTTTTCATATAGTGGATAAGCAGGTATGAACAAGGAAACGTTGTCAACACATTTCAACAAAATTGATGTTTCAATTTTATCGTTATCGAGTTTTGAGAGAATTGATCAAAGGGTGTTTTGTTTTCAAATGTTTGAAAAGGTTAGACGTATTCCAGCACAATTTACAAGATGCCTACGATTGAGTTTCTTAGTAAAATAACCTCATGCCTTACTTTTGGGAGGAGACATGATTAGGTATACCTAAGTAGTATAAGGGATACCATCAGCACCCCCCCCCCACCACTTTCCTTCCCATGGTGTCCCACGGTGTTTTTCGCCCAAATTTAAAAACATGGGATCTGATGGTTCTATTTTACCGCCAGCCCCCCTCCACCACTTTCCTTCTCAAGGTGTCCCACGGTATTTTTCCGCCTTAATTTAAAAACAATGGATCTGATTGGTTCTGTTTTACCGCCGGCATTTAAATCGTCGGGTCTAGTGGTGTCCCCGTGGAAGTCCCCCCCACGTGCCCCCTGCAATCATCCGCTTGCTGAGATAATTCGAACCGGGTAATCTCAAGGTGTCTCGTACCGCTCGTCTTGTTTTTAAAAGTAAACAAATTCGGGGCACTTACGACGCATCTTAGTCGGTCAAATAGGTTAGGAGTAGATAGAAAATGACAGTTCTGGCGCAGGGTCAAAGTCAAATTTCCTGGGACCGCCTCAAAAGTCATGAAGTCTGACGGGGTCCACTAGCTCAAAGGGGGCTGTGGTAAAAGATATAGTCAATGCATTCGTAGGTGCAGATATGTGAAAATTGCCTGCTCTTGTGACGTCACTATCGACATGCAGTTACTTGTTTCTTTTTTTCTCCATCTAATTATAACTTGTTTTTTAAATATTTTTAGGATATGCAATTTTTTTTCCATTTTGATACGAGGGGGATATTTTGTAATTTGCTTATCATTATATGTATATAGGTACTCCGAAATAAATAAAACATATTTAAATTATCAAAAACCACATTTGTATTTAATCAATTACAACATAATAAAATGAACATTTATGTAACAAAATCTATATTATATCTTTTATTTTCAAACCCGTTATAATTTATATTAATTTTTCGGTGTGATTGCTCGTATTCTTCGATCATGACGTCTGTGAG